GCTGTTGCGGGGGTGGGGGGCACAGCGGGGATGGGGGGACCAGACCCCCCCGGGGCTCATGAGCTGGGGGCTGGAGGCGAGGATGATGATGGGGGGGCTGGGTGGGATGGTCCTTACCTGGGGAGGACGGAGACCTTCTGTGGGGGGCGCCGGCACCGCCTTGGGACGGTCCCTTGCTTGGGAGGTATGCCAGAGTTTCGGCTGGAGAAGACCCTGTGGCCCCAGCAGCAGGGATTTGGGTCTGGCCCCGAGCTCCTGGCAAAGACAGTGTGGGGCTGGGGGGGGGGGGGGTGTCAGAGAAACCCCCCCAAGGCTTTCTGGGAGGGCACACCTCATGGCAGTGCCAAAATCTTCCTGCCAAGCATCCTCCCGCCCAGCCACCCCAAAAAGAGCATCCAAGCGGGTGGTGGATGCAAGCTGACGTGGTTAAATATTAGGGGTTAGAAGACAAGTGGAGCGAGAGGAGGAGGAGGAAGGCAGCCAGCCCATGTCTGCCCTGCCCCAGGTGGGATGCGAGCCCCTGCCGACCCAAGGCAGGGGCAATGGCGATGATACTCTTTGGCTTCAGGTCTGTGGGAGAAGAAAACCCTGCGGGGTGAGGGCAGGAGATGGTGGGCCTGAGGACCACGGGGGTGCCAGGGTGCAGGGTGGCCCGACCCTCCCCGGGGAGATGTCAGGTACCCAGGGGATGGGGACGGGGGGTGTGTCACTTTTTGGCAGCAGTCATGAAGCTGTTCTCGATGCAGAGGACGACGAAGGCATGCTGGCAGCTGCTGGCTGCCTGCTCCAGCAGCTTGCCAGAGCCCAGCGAGGAAGCCTGGCCGGTGGCAGCACGCTCCTCTGTCCGCCATGTCTCACAGTAGCTCTCGGGCAAGCGCCGGCCCTTGGCATCCGAGCCGTGCCAGATGCTCTTCTGTGGCCTGTCATGAAGCTGTTCTCGATGCAGAGGACGACGAAGGCATGCTGGCAGCTGCTGGCTGCCTGCTCCAGCAGCTTGCCAGAGCCCAGCGAGGAAGCCTGGCCGGTGGCAGCACGCTCCTCTGTCCGCCATGTCTCACAGTAGCTCTCGGGCAAGCGCCGGCCCTTGGCATCCGAGCCGTGCCAGATGCTCTTCTGTGGCCTAGAAAGGAGAAAGGGGGGGGGGGGGGGGGCAGGAGATGGTGGGCCTGAGGACCACGGTGCCAGGGTGGTGCAGGGTGGCCCGACCCTCCCCGGGGAGATGTCAGGTACCCAGGGGATGGGGACGGGGGGTGTGTCACTTTTTGGCAGCAGTCATGAAGCTGTTTT